CATGAATCTTCTAAATGGGTCCAGTACCTACAAATTGAGTGTTACGTGCCAGGGGCTAGTTGGTAAGAGAAAATTTTACATAGCCGACGAAAGCGCTCACGAAGCTGTAGAATATGCGCAGAAAACGATAAATGAAGCTTATGTCGTAATTTCTCGTTGTGCGATCTCTTTTTTCACTAAACGTCATTCTCGCATGGTGAGGTATGCTGCTGAAGGTGCTTTTCTCGAGACTGCACGCGTCAAACATCCGTTTATTGCATTGTAATCTTGTTCAGTGACCTCGCACGAGTTCGTATCACATCGATCAATTCTTATTTTCTACGATTTTTCTTCAGGGATGCATGTCTGGTTCTTATTTCTCATTCCGCAATTATTCGCCGCCACACTAAAGGAAAAGGAATCGGGCGAAGTCGATCCGTTGACAGAGCTCCATAAGGTTTGTCTGCCGACTTTTTTTCTGAATAACTGCTCCTCACCTCTCCAAAGGTTCATAGGAATACGTAGTTTGGCATATAATTAGGGTCTACTCCATTATGGGGGCACCATGAGGTAGTTTTCTAAAAACCTAGGATAACTCCGAGTCGGAGGGGAGGGGGTTGTTGCCATTCTACGCTGCTGGGCGGCGAGTGCAGTCACGAAGTAAGCAAACCAGCCCTTTTGGCGTTTCTGCTGGGACCGTATGCTGAATGTTGGGGAGGGGATGGGGTCCCCGACGGTCGACGGACTACTTCAACTCGGTCCTTAAAACCGCCTCAATTTGATGCTTACCTCAGGCTAAGCCTTGAAGAGAGCCATCACTCTCCCAGCCGTACCGACCGAGTTGAAGTACTCCGTCGACCTCGGGGACCCCATCCCTCCCCAACATTCAGCATACGGCCCCAGCAGAAACGCCAAAAGGGCTGGTTTGCTTACGAGTGCAGTCACTTGACATGCGTGAAAAGCTGGAATGTTTGAGTTCACACTAGTTCGCCGAGAAACTGCATCATGATGCCCCCCCCCCTAACTGGAGTAGACCCTATAAACAATCTATCTTGCTTATGCTTAAAGTTTCTCATGATCTATTTTCTGACTGAAAATTTGTTTTAGACCTTCATTATTGGTCGAATATTTTTCGATTTTTTCCAAAGGGGTGGGATTCGAAAATAGGTTTGGTTTTCCAACTACAAATCTACGTTTTTGGCACTATTGGCTTGACCACCCATATACATACCCCTTTAATAGCGTGCTTTTAAGGAGTTG